CTCTCCAACAATTGAGTAACGTCCGAATCGATTTCCATTAGTCGAGTAATGTTATCCTCAGCAGCTAGTTTTCGAGTTACTAACAAAAGATATCTTCGAATAAAGAGAAACAATTTTTAATTTTAACATTGATTTGATAATACTTACATATTGAGAATGAATGGAATGATATTCAAGCCGGCAGCAAGCAGAAAGGTGAATTTTCGATTGTGTACTATAGTACGAGCATAAAGCCAGTTGAAGAATGAACCACCAGCAGCTATCATTATCACGTTTGTTTCTGTGACAAATGTGAAAGCATGACTTCGTTCGTATGGTTCCAACCATTTGGATATCATTGACCATGTCAATGAACCTCGATACATCGTAAAAGGACTTATTAATAATGTCACATAAATGGCCCAATTGTGTTGAGCAAATGCAGTCCACACAACTGAACCACAAAAAAGAATATGACTAATAGCACAGACAAGGGGATCACTGGCGCCGAGTTTCGTTAACGCTTCTATGCCAACTAGACGTAGAACTGCGGATGCAACCGCCGATACAGCTGAATAGTTTCCTATCTCTTTGGATGACCAGCAAAATGGAACACTGAGAAGATACCAAAGAAGTACACTCATCGATGACGATGTAAATATGTACACAGCAAAGGCCAAAAGTGTCAAGTAAAGACTGATCGATTTTTTACGTGATCGACGATTAAATGCAAATACAGTAAATACTTCGAAAAATTCGGCCCATAATTTCGACGGTTTTCTGATATAAACATTATTGACACATGGCGATGATGATAAACAATCATTTTTACACTCTAACGTTGCTGAAGTTTCGACAATGAACTGACTTGGATTAATGAAACGAAGTCCAACTACAATCGACATCAACCGCAGCATCAAAGCTATCCAAAATAGATCGGTAAAACCACGCCATGATATGTAATAACCAATTACAAATGTTGCCACCGCTGATATACTCGTTGTTATCGCACCGAGAAGAACAAAGCGAGACGAACGTTCACTTTCAGTTGTACATTCGGTAACAATCAAATGGAGCACAAAGACTATATGATAAATACAACAAAGGCAAAACGAAATAGAGAAAGAAATTATGATCAGCTATACTGAGAACACTTCCAGATCCAGATAGACCAACGACAATTGAGGCAATAATCCACCAATAATCTGCTAATTGAAAATATATGATTCCTAACCAAATACTAATTTGAAGAGATAAGCCTGCCATCGGCAGCAGGGCTACCAATCGTATGCCCAATCTTGGCGTATAAACGCCGAGTATGTAAGTTGCAATAATTACCGGGATACCATTCGATAGATCGATCCAAAAGAATAGATTGGCCGAACGTTGTTGTGCCCACGCTTGGGCTCCACTAGTCACAATGTGTGCATTCGGTCTACAATTTGTATCATTGTTAACCGTACTGAAATTGTGGACATCATAATTGGAACTACCATTGAGGTACGTCGATGTAATAGACGACGAATACGTTTGTAAATATAATTTGTAGACATAGTGTCCGACTGTCGAACGAATACAACCACACAGTGTTTCAAGGAACAGAATAGCTCCAACTGCATATAGATTGAGATTAGACATCGTAAGACAAATAACAATTGATGTATAATTTGACGAAGTTCATTTACTATCCAGAATAAGAAAACGTACACATAGCATTGATTTATACAATCATTTATCGTCATGCACACAGTATGGTCTGTGTGCCTACGATTTCTGTGCAATTCTTCGATACCTGACTGCTTTTCATGTATGAATAACCAATGCAACACGTGCAAAAATGACTTGCTTCACGTCTTTCTCGTGTTAATAAAATACAAAAGCACTGTATGCAGGAAAGAAAAAAACTTTTTTCCACATTTTTCTGTTCATATATTTTTTAAAACCTTGGTGCAGTGAAAATGATTCGCAGGAACGCACGTGATGGGTGCATTAATTAGTATGTGCGGTGATACCATACTGCATTTGTTTAAAATGAAGAATCAACAAAAATTTTCTGCAGATGGGGTTCCATAGCGGCTGTGTTAAATTGTGAATTATATTTTCATGCTCTTATCACCATAAGAATTCTAGTCATATTTTATAACATTAAACACAAATAACAATTCGCTAACTGATAAAAATTCAAATTGAATTTGCGATGATCTATATGTTAACATTAACATACGATTCTTTTTGTATCCTATTGCTATAATGACAATGAAAATTGATAATTGAAAAATAAAACACTGGATTGGAATGCCATTTTATGAAGCGTTCGGCACTTTCCAAGAATTCACTTGCTAAGCCTAGAAGAAGTTACGCTATTACTTGGTCGTTATTGCTTTGCGTCAGTTTAAAAATAGTCTAAATACGTCTGTTTCTGTTTTCGTTTGTATCGTTTTTGTTTTAGGATCGACAATTCTTCTGCTGATTGGTTGTGTTTAACTTAAATGAAGTAATGTGTCACTATAGATTGAAATGATATGGCTTTGAAGACATACGCATACCCACAGCCAGATTCTGAAGTCAAATTATCAATTTATAGTTTCAATACTGTAAAAGAAAATTAATTTGATATTTTCTTGTGAATTTTTCGAAATCATTGAGAAATTCTAAACCATCTGATGATTATCTTACGTAAGTACAATCGAGGATCACTTAAAACGTGATATATACTCTCTATGGTAATTGAAATGAGCAAATGTTTTCTTCTACTTCATAGAGAAATTATGATGATATACAATACTAATATCAGTGTGTGATATTGAACGGTAAATCAAAATTAAGTCTCGAGTGTTTTAATTCACTTTGATCTAGGAGTGAATTTGTTTTCTTTTCCTTTTCGTTACTAGCTATAATGTAATGTTTCTCTAGTGGCACAATCGTGAGAAGACAATCTACAGTTTTACAAGAATTAATCGAATGTATATCATCGTATCGACATGAACGGAAGTGGAGCATGAAGGAGTATAATTATTCACATCTACAACGTATTAAAGTTCAAATGCAATCAAAAATACACTCGCTAAACTAGCACCCAATTCAATACATAGATTCATATTACGTATCGACACTAGTCACTACCATTCATTCTGACTGCAGCAGTGAGAAAATTAAGCATCGAACTGTTCGTTATGCATCATCTTATATTCAGGTGAGTCAAATGAATCACTATGATGGTAGAAACATTCGAATCGGTTATGCGATTATGTCTACCAGTTTCTGAATCATTCGATGACACATGAAGAGTGATATATGCATAAATAATCGTATGCATTTTGGTTGACAATTATCTGAGTTATAAAAGGCGAAGAAAAAACAAATTTCATCTGTTCTTTGCCAAGGCGAAATGTGTCTATAGGTGAAGTAAATCGGAACGCTTACGTCTTTTTTTTTCTTCTATTTTTTGCCTTGTGACGAAGCATGTAATGTCAGTTGTTTGTCGGGTTTAATTGAAAAAAAATACAAGCAGTAACGGTATACATTTTGATACTTTCTTTTCAAGAAAAAGAACAGAACGAATCAAATTTATATGTGATTGGTGAAACTTGACAGGTATACGTTTTGATCGGTTGCATTTTTCTACATTATATAAGAGCAGTTTGTATTAAAACTCTATCGGTGAACACCAAACCGGTGGAATAGATATTAATCTTGAGAAATTACGAACCCTAGTTATCAGAAAAACTGTGAGTATTAATTAAAGTTTTGTGAGTTTAGAATTAGAGATGAACGAATTCATGATTTCTCGGTCCCTTTTCAGTTCTACATAAGTAAGGCCAAAAGTGGGTAAACAAATCACCGCTGCGAGTTACCAGATTATAATCATGAGCAGTATAAATGTTTTCCTTTAGATTTCTACTCAATATTCTAGCAATGTCTTGCCCAAACATATTTTTAAAAATATCAAAAAGCAATGTATAAGCGTTTTTGATGATCCTGGCCATTTTTTTAAAACATACTGACACAAACAGTTCATCATTTAGCATTTAATACCTAGCAAACGCCGCCATTCATTATTAACGCAACGCTTTCCCTCTCTCAATATGTTTATGAGATGAGCGTACTATCGAACTCATCAGTGCATGGTCGCTGTGCCTTTTTTTTATTATAAAATATCATAGATAAAAATTTGAGAGTGTGAACGTAGGCGCAGGTCTACTTTCATCCAACAATGTGATCGATCTTGAAAATTAGGAGTGTCAGATCGGTGTAATCAGATCTTAAACAAGTGATATATTCATACCTTTCTCTCATCTTCGACTTCTGCTCTAAAGAAAATACAGCATATATCAGAATCTTCCAATGGAAAATTTTTCTTTTGATTTTCAAGTTAGGATTCCATGCAATCTCTAAATACTACTCTCCGGTGATTATGACGTAGTGGCAGAAGATGCAACATCTTGAGCATAGACGTAACGTTCATCGCATGATAGTAGGATAAAGTTTTGTTTTTAAATACTGAAAGATACAGAGAAATGTACGAATATATTGTTCATACTAAAATAATGTGCTTATCTGTTGGTCGGTATTTCCCACATCTTCCTAAAATTCTCCAATATTATTGACTATTTGCATACATAATGCATCTCAATTTTTAGCATGAATGCAATCAAAGCTCTGCCAATCATTTTCAAATGGGCAAAGACCTTATATGATATTATCAAGCAAGTCAAAGCCAACAAAAACCAATGTCAACGTAAGTGTTTTCGAAGAATTGTTGAGAAGTTTATTAAACATACTGAACTTTTATTAACTGAAAAAATCGTCTTTTGCAAACGAATTATTAAGGAAAGTCTATATTTCTAACTTTTTATTGCAATTATCAGACACCAATCTTGTTTGTATTAGCTCAAAATTAGTCCAACTCTTGTCCCAAGCAGATTTCGGAACCTTCAGCAATCAAATAACTTTGTTTTCATTATAATGGTGGTAGTTGAATCTAACAAGTTCTAGAAATAGTATTTCTACATGATAACACTTTACTAAAAATTCTAGTAATATATGATATTTATACATTTTCTTCTTCGACGTTTGAATTTTTCATGAGTTACAATGAGTGTTGCTTACAAAAACATACAAGCGCGTTCTCATCTTATTCGTAGGTTTGAGCAAACGAGTCGAATCTATTGTGGTCGTCCTCAAAGACAGTTCGGTCGAAAACTACAGTGGAACCATAAAGGAAAAAGCTTTACAAAATCTAGTTGAAACGTTGGAAGATATAGTCAACTTTGTGAAAAAGTTTACTGATGCTTCTATTTTCGATCGATTTTTTCACAATACTGACCATCAAGAACAATTTGAAATGTTCAACATGCAACTGTCACATAATGTTGCCGATCTCAAGTTAGCCTTGGACATCACATCGGTATTCGACCAACATCAAGATATGATAGATCGGCAAGCTGATCTCGACGAAATTTCGACGAAATTGGATGATATTGCATTGGGTATGACCAAGCAACAACAGGAATTGCTTAATCATAAAAAAGAAATGAAGAATGAATTCAAAAGACGATTTGACTCTTTCAGGTTTCATCTACAACAAGATGTACTTAAAGCCCAAAATCTGACTGAAGCAAAAGCAATAGATGAAGAGTCAAAACTTTTTCTTCATATTCCAGGCCACGATCTAGAGAGTGAAGAGCTAATTGGTCAAGGAGGATTTGCTGATGTCTATCGGGGTACATGGCTCAGTCAACACCACCGCGTGGCCATCAAAGAAATTCGTATTACACATTTGATGGACGATGTAAGACAAGACTTCTTGTATGAAATTTCGGCCATGTGCAAAATTCGTTTTGATCATGTGCTCAATATTTTTGGTGCATGTATCGAGCCAAACTATTACGCAATTGTCGTTGAATATATGTCACTTGGGTCATTGTTCAACGTGTTGCAGAAGAAACAGCCGCATCTCTCTTGGCCTGACCGTTGGTCTATCGCACTACAGATGACAAAGGGTGTTAATTATTTGCATTCAATGTCGATTCTCCATCGTGATATCAAGTCACTCAATTTTCTAATGGAAAAAGCAGTCGATGGTTATCTCATCAAAATATGTGATTTCGGTTTAGCCAAAATTAGACAGGAAACAAGTCGCCAGACGGCTGATAGTAATCAGCAACGAGTATCGGTGGGTACACTTCAATGGAAAGCACCTGAAGTGCTGAAATTCGGCAAACCATCAAAAGCCAGTGATGTCTACAGCTTGGGTATTGTCTTTTGGGAGTTAGCTACCGAACGCGTACCCTATGAGGAACTGGATGAAGCAACTATCAGTCAAGGTGTCAAAGCAGGCGAACGACTTAAAATTCCTTCTGATGTTCCACATGATTATACGTCACTCATATCGAATGCATGGAGTCAAGAGCCAAGCGACCGACCCACCTCTGAACAGCTTATTCAGCAGATTATGATTGTTTCAACTACTGCAACCGAGGCAATAGTGATGTGAGTATATCGTGAGAATAATCAGACCAACTGACGACTTCTTAGAATAATGAAATATTCACTTTGTTAATACATAACACTATGTATCGTAAGACAATTAAAACGAGCAAAGCTCGCTTCTCGATTTTGAACCTGTATACTTATTGAAATGATATTGAGAAATACTAAAGTAAGGATCCAAATACCAGTAAAGAAGTAATGAGCTAATGTTTCAGATTTTTCACCTTCATTTTATGAAATACAATCTAACCGGAGTATTAAATTATCTAGCGTTGAAACTGTTTACTTTCTCCTCGTGATTATGGCAAACAGTGTTCATTATATAGAGTTAAAAACAGCATATGCCTAACAGCTCATTAGAATATACGAATTGCTTCCGTATTATAGCTATCTAAAATTCATTGAAATATGATTAAACAAGGAGCCTGAAAGTAGATCGAGTACTACAAGAACAAACAAATACCTCTAGTTTTCTTCTTAGTGTCGTTAGCCATTAAACAATGAAAAACTTGGAATAAGAATTCTTTTAGCTGAGAACATCATTACTTTCGATATTATTTTCTTTTTATTTTCGTTTCCATTTATACCAATAGAGTGTTTGTCTCAGGATTGTTGAGAATTCAATATGATCAAAACTGACCATAGCATTTATGAATCACGAACTATATAAATCTGTCAGATGCATTCAATGATTTTAGTAGAAGGAATATGACTAATAGCGATGGAAAAAATATTTACAAGTTGTGTGTTCGACAGAATTCATGACCGTTTGCTCTCGACGCATGGTGTCTAGAAAACAATGCATTAAAAACTCCAAAAGCGTTCAATATTGTTAGATTGCATGGAGCTTGAGTGTTGACGACACGATTATAATTGCTCGTTCAAAAGATAGCCCCTTGACTAGTTAATTGGTAAAAATAAAATATAGCTAATCTTTTATTTTAAAACTTAGGCCAAGACTTCTGCCGACAGCATTTAAACAATATGACAACAGTTCACTCATAACCGCCAAGAGTCCAAAAAAACCTGAAGCCATTCCAGTCGTAGACAGTTTAAGCAAAGGTATGAAATATTCATTATCTGATTCAATATAGTACTTAAATCTGGTATTGTACATGACCAAGCTTCACCTATGTATTTGAATTTTATCAGAACAATCAACTTCCGTATCGAGTGAACTCGTTTAGTGTATCGATAGCACGCACTAGCAGAGTCTCCGCATGGAAAATTCAACACTGTATTTAGTTTTCAGAATATAATGTAATCGTTTTCAATTTCTATTACATGACTATTTTAATGCGTTGGGAAAATCTCACCGGGAATACGATGTAAACGGTTTTTCACTTAAAAACTGTTACCGCAGTCCCTGTGGAATTAAAATGTGAAACACGATAAATCTCTTTTTCTGGGATCTGTCTACCACGGTCAGTGATACTTTGTGGAGTTTCTCTGCCACGGTCTGTATTATAATGTATGGAGTCTCTAGAGACCATCACAGACCGTTACAGAAACCTCAGAAAGTATCAGAAACTGTTACAGAGTAATTAATTCATTTCTCTGTAACGGTCTGTGGGGGGGGGGGGGAGGGGGCCAAAAAAAATACCACC